TCCCTTATCTGAAATGCTTGGGACCAGAAATATTTTCAATTTTATATTTTTTCCAATTTCACAATATTTGCATATGTATATATAATGAGCTATCTTGGGGATAAGATCCAAGTATAAACAAGTAATTTATTTATGTTTTCATATACACTTCTTACAAATAGCTTAAATGCAATTTTGTATGGTATTTTAAATAACTTTGTTATGAAAGATACATGGTGTAGAATTCTCTACATGTGGTACCCTGCTGGTACTCACAAACATTCAGATTTTGGAGCGTTTTAGATTAAGAATGCTCAGCCTATATTTCTTCCTTAAATATTGGATAGACACCATCAATGCCTAGAACCAGTACTATTCCCAGTCCCGTGCATTATTCTCTTTAATCCTCTCAACTGTTTTTTCCCCTGGTCTCAGCGATTCCCATGATGACCCTTGCAGCAGAGATACTATGGGAGTCTCCGAAGTTGTCTCTCTCCTACGTCAAGTACTAACATTCTCCCCTGTGCAAATTCTAGCCGCCTGAGTCCTTCTGAATTCTCATCTCAGCCTAACTCAGGGAGTCAGCCTAGCTCTGCCTGGGAACCCCAGGGCCCTGGCCTGGAACTTCCTGCCATGCAATGAGTCGGGACTACTGCAGTGCTCACTGTCACTCACACCTATTGTAGAAGAGAAGATTTTTGGTTTTGTCACTGGTTCCGGGTACAGACTCTCAAAGCCTTGGAATTCCTGAGTGAGAACGGTGACAATGGGACTATTTCTTGTTTCAATGAGGCAACCCTTTCACAGCTATACCACCTTGAACATGCCCAACCACATCTAATGAGGCAATTCTTAGCAGCCCCTCGGCAGCTTCACGATGGGGGCTGGTCACCACAAAGACCAAGCCTGGATGAGAGGCTTGGAAGCTTCAGCCCTATCCCTTGAAGACAGGGACTAGCTCATCATTAATGGCTAAAGACTGAACTCATTCAAGGTGTGGCCGTAATACATGTCTCACTGGCGGGCCGCTCCAGACCACCAGCGGTACACGCACAACGGCGCCATCGGGCAGTATGGGACAGTGCCATGGCGTGGTTCCACCTGATGGAAGAGTCATGCATGTACCACTGGTGGTTCAAGCTGGCAGAAACGAGTCAACTGGCACCTATATAATGAAACCTCCGTAACACCCCAAAATGATAGGCTTTGGAGATTGGGGTGTTGAACACATCAAGGTGCTGAGAGGGCAGTGCACTCAGAGAGGGCACAGGTCCTCCACACACCTCCACCTCCCAGCCTGGCCCTATTGGCTACTTCTGAGTAGTATCCTTCATAATAAACTAACAAAGGTAAGGAAAGTGTTTTCCTGAGGTCTACAAGTCCTTCCAGCAAATTATCAAACACAAGGAAGGAGGCAAGGAGGTAGGTCATGGAAACTCCTGATTTACAGCCAGTCAGTCAGAAGTACAGGTGGCCAGGACTTGCAGCTGGCATCTGAAGTTGGGGCAGTCTGTGGGACTGAGTCCCTTCCAGTTGTGGGATCCAATGTTAAGTCCAGGTAAACAGTGTGAGAATTAAAATGAATTGTTGGGCACTACATTACTATCTGTAGAATGGGAAAAGTAGTACTGCAAAAGATATCAGCTATTTAGTGTCAGAAGTGGGGAAAAAAATCTCATTATATGTTTCTCAGGGGATCACTCTTGGGCAGGGGATGTAGCTTACTAGTAGGGCACCTGGCAGCATATACAAAGCCCTAGGTTCCATCCCCAGTTCCCCAGCACCAAAGGGAAAAAGAGAGAGAGAGAGATCACTGTTCACCCATTGAGGAATGTCCCGTATTTCACATATTTTGTCCATCTTTGATGGTTTCAGGCAGGAGAGTGTATTGGTCCTTGAGAATCCAACTTAACCAAAAATGGAAGCCTGCAAACCTGAGTCGTCCTCAACACTACCACATGGCCATTTAAGCTTCCTGTGACTACCACCAGCAAGAGGCTCCTAGTGGAGTCATCTGACTCCTTGTCTGAATGACTCACAAAACCCAAGGTGAAGCAAACACTTCACCTCGATGTCACCAGTCCCCCCACACACAGCCTGGCTCACATGAGATACTCAGGAAGCTCTGCTGGATGAACTACTACACACATCGCTGCAACCCTGGCCCAAAATCTAAGGTCCTCTAAGAACACAGGTCCCCAACACTGTTCTGAAAGGCCAGGCTCAAGACTTTGCATTGAGACTTCAGAACAAATCTAAATTCTTCACTAGCCAGGAGATGTTGGGGAAGATGACACCCCCTAAGGACAGTTAAAAAGACAGCCTAAACAGAGGCCCAAAATAAGAAGTGCTTTGATCAGGGGACAAACCCAGGGAAGGAGCAATTAGAATACCTTGTGGTTTCACTTTGTCTGACAGTTCTCTTAGAAGCAAAGTATTTTTCCAATTGGTACAGGGACTTTCCTGGGCATCTCTTCAGTGCATAAGAGATGAATAATATCAGGGCTTGTAAGTATTGACTTAATTTCAGGCAATTCCTTTCCACTTGTTTTAACATTTCTTTAGCAACGAGAATGCTTGGGAACAAACTTTTTGTTGTATTTCGTTTTGGTTTGGTTTTGAGATGGGGTCTCACCATGCTGCCTGGGCTGGTCTCACCATCTCAGCCTCCTGAGCAGATAGGATTATAAGTGCACACCACTGGGCCCAGCACATGCTTTTTGATGTTTTAATGTTTTGCTTTTTGGTTTTAATGACAGATAGAAGAAAACTGACTATAGCTATATCCTGCTCACTCTAACCATAAGCCTGTCTGGATTTTTTTTAAAAAAAGGACACACAAAGTGTAAAATATGAAGTCCTGTCTTACTCCTGGATTCACTTGCTGCTGTTCATCCCAAGTGAACCCCAGTCAGGGTAAATACAGAAAAGTCAGATACAGGGCTGAGGATTTAGCTCAGCGGCACAGCACCTGCCTGGCAAGCGCAAGGTCATGAGTTCGATTCCCCGGTACCGGGGAAAAAAAAAAAGACAAAAGAAAAGTCAGATACAAGATAGCATGAGCACACACTCACATAAGTTATGACAGAACAGTGCTATAATTGCTCTATTTTATTATCAGGTGCTGGGAATCTCTTGCTATGCCTTATACATGAAACTTTATCATGGTGTGTATGTGTATACTGGAAGGAAACAGATTCTCTAGGGCTTGGTACCTTCCAGTTTCAGGCATCCACTAAGGGTCTGGGAATTTATCCCCTGAGTGTAAGGGGCAACTACTGTAAACCAATTCCTAGATATATTGTACAGGACTTTCCTAAGTTAGCTCAGACCAGTTTTAAAGGTCAAACAAAGACAAAAACACTTTCGTTCTGAGTATTAAGGTACCATGCAGCTCCCTGCACCAACTGTGAAACTTCCCCAGCAGTATCACCACTTACATTCAGGACTTACAAAGAGAAACCAAAAGGACAAAGGAACACGTTGCCCTGCAGATAAGAGACGAGTCAGGCATTCTTGGGCCTATCTCTGCAGGAGGCTGGGTGGCAGGCTGAGAGCCCTGGGGGGTGTTTTAAAGAGCAAGGAAGGCAGGCTGACAGATACCATAATCCCTTTCAGTGAAGAAGTCTTTCACCAAAGACCCCCATCCTCCACAGTACAGGCGACTACTGCACCCAGACCTTGACTGGAGCGACAGCTCCAGACACAGCACGGACACCACTTTCCTGCATCCGGTTCTCCCACAGGTCTGCGCTGGGCACAGACTAGACGCCAGACCGTTCCTACAGTGCGCAGGCCACTTCAGATCTGAAAACCTGCACACCCAAAGAACCTTTTCTTCCTGCACTTCGTACCTTCTGTCTAGGCATTCCCACAGCACGCCTTAGTGGTCACCTGTGCGCCTTACTGTGGGACCCTCCAGGATTATGACTTGTTCCTGTGCTTCAGGCTCCCAGAATCCCACCGCAGGCCCCCGTGGACCAGGCCTCTGCAGAATGCCGTGTGGGACCCCCTCACCCTGCCTCCCTTTTTCTTCTGTACATCTTGAAAGAATATTTATTTCTCTATTCACCATCTCTCCTTCTTATCCCCATTCACCCCCAGCTCTCAGGATGTGGGCTCCAGCTCTAGCAGGCTGTGGAAACGGCACTACTGAAACATGGCCCCGTCTCGTGTCCATTCACCTGGGTGCTTTGTGGGCCCAGACCGCAGACCCTTTTCTCACTCTTCTTGGCTCAGCTCACCTCTGTTATTTTTTCCTACTTTTCTGTTGAAAACTAAAAATACAGACAGAAATACAAAAATGCAAAACAAAAAGCAAATATTTATATTCCCATGAATCAGAAGTGACAAAGCCAGTAATGTCACGTTTGCTTTATGTCTTCATTTCCTAAAAGAACAGAACAGGATGAAGATGAAGACCCCTGTAATCCGCACTGGGCACCCACTCCCACTCTTCTTCCTGCCCGCAAGCAAGCACCCCCCAGGGCACTGCACCCTTTCGGTTCACCCCTTTCACTTGCAGCTGTACTCCTAAGCAATGAAAATCATTTTGTACTCCACAAAATGACCTCATGCAATAACTTACCAAGCTTCCTTCATTCTGCAAGATTTCCCCACAGTGACCCTCCACAGGCCTGCAGACCTGATTCCACTTGCTGCACTGACCCGACAGTGGAGCTCTGCCAGGGCCAAGGGTCCTGTGTGCCTCACGTCTCTTACTTCCCTGAACCACCCTACGTGTTGTGTATAATCGCCGACCCCGTTTTACAGACAAGGAAGTCGGCTGGAGCACAGGCCAGCGCTTTAGAATCAAGGTTTTTATCTACTGAGCTAAATGTCACATTGACTTGGAGCAGGGAAGGATGAGACCGGAAAGATGGAACGGTGGAAACGCGCAAGGAGAGGTGAATGCTCAGGTCAGGATGACGGCCTACCCTGTCGCAGGGTAGTACGCCAGCGTCACTAGCTCCCAATCCACAAGCAGCAGCGCATGCGGGGGACAGGGAAATGACACTTACAGTCGTGAACCTTGTAGCAGTGGTTCTGCAGGCGCTTGACGTCCCGCTCCTCCAGCACACCGTGAGTCATCAGCAGCTGCAGGAAGCGCCGGTGCACGTCGGTCATGGCGCCCGTTCTTCTGGCGTTGCCCTGCATGTGTAAAGGAGCTGAGAGAAGCACAGGAAATCTAGTCACCTGTGGGCGCACAGAAGCGGTGCTCTGGGCTTTGTACTCATTTATGCTAAGAAAGATATGTTTATCACGGTTTTTAGAATTACGCTCCTCGCGGTGATTACTACAAAGGGGAAAAGAACATGAGCCAAGGGCTGCCCACACTGGTGCCGGGAAGCAGAGATTCCGGAGGCAGAACACTGGGGCTCCCAGCCTGGCTCCACCACCACTTAGCAGATGTGTGAAACTGGGCAAGTCTCCACGTGCTTTAGTTTTGTTCGGTAAAATAGGAACAATGATAGAAGTGTCCTCCAAAGAACTGCTACAAGGACTAAATCAGTAAGTACATGCGTGAGCCTGTCAGTGCCAGGAAGCACTACACCAGTGCTGGCTCTTCTCACTGCCCGGCGATTTGGAGTCTGAACCTTGGCTCAGCCACTTACCAGACCTGCGGCCTCGCAGAGATTTAGCAGGGGCTGTGTTTTCTCCCCACAAAACTATAAAAGCGTTCACTGCTTAGAAAGCTGCTAGTAAACAATAAATGTTAGTTTCCTCTTCCTCTCCCCAAACCACTAGTAAATCAACTGTCACAGCAGGACTACGGGCTATTTCGAAAATCTCCTGCTCTCTAATAAAATGCTATCTTTCCACAAACCGCAAAGATCAGAGCTGATAAACGTACAACACAAGCACTGCTCAAAACACCTGCTCCTGTCATTCAGAGGCACCACAGGGGAGGGCCCGAGAGCGTGGGTTTGCGACTAGACAGGGGCCAGTGTGTGCCAGACCTGCCTGACCTCAAGAATCATCTACCTTGCATTTTAGTAATAGAGATTCCTGGGCCCCTTTCGGGGAGGGTCAGACTCATGGGGCCTGGATTCTGAGGTGTTAACATTCACTTTAGGAGATGCCGCAGTCTACGGTGCAAATTTGCTGTTGCCTTGGGCAAATGGCGCAAGGAACCCTTTTAGCTAACATGTGCTGTCTCCCTAAGGCTCTGCTCGTCTACAAAGCAGGGATAATAATATACATATCTCTTAAAGGCATAAGATGACATGTAAGCGAGACAGGACCGCCAGAAGCTTGCCAAGAGCCTGCTACACAAAGGAGACACAAAAATGCTTGTTGCTGTCCTGCCTCTGTGTCTCTCTCTGTCTCTGTGTGTCTGTCTGTCTGTCTGTCTGTCTGTCTGTCTCTCTCTCTCTCTCTGAGACAACAGAGTCAGGCTGGCTTTGAACTCACTATGTAGCCCAGGTTGGCCTTGAACTTGCAGCGATCCTCCTGCCTCAGCCTCCCAAGTGCTGGGATTACAGGCATGCATCACCAGGCCCAGCTACTGTTCTCTTTTTACAGCACCATCAACTGGACCTCCAATCTGGGAAGATGCACTATCCCATAACTAGTCTCTCCGACAGCCTGCTGGACACCCCAGAGAGTATCTTACCCGCACCTGTACCTCAACAAGTCCTAACTGAGTTTACACGCAGCCTCTCCTCCCACCACCCTCGACCCTGTTCCTGGGCCCTCCTCCTTGTCAATCGTCAGGCCACAGCGATACGTAACCCACACAGCTGAGCATCTCCTGAAACCTCCGCCTCAGCCAGTTGTCGGGTCTATGTCCTACCAACAGGGTCGGGTACCCTCACTCGCCCGTTCTCCTTCCAGGTACTGCGCACCAGTGATTTGCCAGTGGATGCAGGGAAACCTGGGAACTAAAGCTCTCCAAACTAAAGGTCTCAAAGCAGGAAGGTGGTATTAGCCCGGCTGTGTCTCAGAAAGATGGTTTCGGCACTGCAGAGGGGCACCAGAGGAGAAAAGAAATGGCAGTCAAAGAGTCATTCGGCGGTCCTCGCTCCGACCCAGCCTGAGGGAATGAGGGTCTCCCTGAGCTTTACCTGGTGGCAAATGTTAAAAATCATGGTACCAGTCATGATAGCCCCATCAAATCCCAAAGAGGAAAACTGTATTTAGTTAGTCGGTTGGTTGGTTAGTTTTCTTTAGACAGGGGCGTGCTACGTAGTTCAGGCTGGCCTTGCACTCACTATGTAACCCAGACTGGCCTCGAACTCTTGGCAATTCTTCTGCCTCAGCCTCTGGAGCGCTGGGACTGCAGCAGGCACGCGCCATCACGCCCAACTCCAAGAGGACAAGTTTAAGAACACCCTCCTAGGCCCATGGTGGAAAAGGCTAGAGTATCAAAGATTAAAAGCAACCAAAGAATAGGCCAATGAGGTGTGGTAGCATACAGTTGTAATTCCAGCACACACTCCAGGAGGCTGAGCCATGAAGATCACAAATTCAAAACCAGTCTGTGTAATTTAGCGATTTAGTAAGACCCTGTCTCAAACTTTAGAAAATTAAAAAGGGCAAGGGATGTAGCTCAGTGCTAAGGTCGTTTCAACCGCCAAATCAGAGAACAGGCCAGGTGACGGACAAGTTACCTCACAACAGGAATTGCGGAAACCTGTGGCAGTGAGAAAACACCGTCAATGTGCTAGGACGGCCTGTCTCTTAATGTAGCATTCAATATTGAACTGAAGACTGAGAATGAAGTAAAATATCCCCAAACAACAAAAAGGGAAAGGTTAAATGGCCAACAGATCTTCACTAAGGAAATTCCAAGGCAAGTATCTCAGTACAAAAGGGCTACAAGTTGGAAAGTTTATGATGAAAGATAAAATGAAGGCAAAGAAGTTGGTAAACACATGGTTACATTCAAGCTGACTTGTGATTGTATAAAACACTAAAACGAGTATCTGTGAGACTTTTAAAATTAAGATGTACAGGGCTGGGGATTTACCTCAGCGGCACAGCACCTGCCTGGCAAGCTCAAGGTCGTGAGTTCAATTCCCGGTACTGGAAAAAAAATGAAAAAAAAAATTAAGATATACAAAATACTAGCGCATACATTGAGAGATAAGTGCCCACTAGAATTAGTGCTCTAATACCCTTATGATGGCTGTGAACAGAATAAAAAGTTTATGAATTTTACATTTTCATTTCATAATTTCTAAAGTAACTACTTCTTTAAAAAACGAGAATAGAGTATATAATTTCCAAATTAGTAATGTAATGTGAAAAATAATGAATCCTAAAGAAGGCAACAAATGAGGAAAAAAAAAAAAAAAAAACAGAACAGTAGAACCATAAAAAATAAACTAGGGCCAGGCTTGGTGGTGTACACCTATAATCCTGGCATTTGGGAGGCTGAGGTAGGAGGATCTCCACAAGTTTGGGGCCTGGGCTACATACTGACCTCAAAGGCAGCCTGTACTACATAGCACACCTTGTCTCAAAGAGAGAGAGAGAAAAAAGAGGGGGAAGGAGACAGTGTAAGAAAGAAAGAAAAAAAAAGAAAGGAAGGAAGGAAGAAGGAAAGAAGGAAAGAAGGAAGGAAGAAAGAGAGAGAGAAAAAGAAAGAAAGAAAGAAACAAACAAACAAACAAACAAAGAAACAAACAAAGAAACAAAGAAAGAAACAAAGAAAGAAACAAAGAAAGAAACAAAGAACAAACGAACAAGAACTGGGTTTAATTCCCAGCAGCAGACACACACAGGAAAAAAAAACGCAAAAAAATCTGAAAAAACAGCGAGTGTGAATAAGCTTTGACAAGACTTCCTAAGAGAACTTTATGAATAAACAATATTTAGAACACAAAAGACCAAACTAATTGCATGTGACACAAACATTTTTTAAACATATCATTAACAATTTATAACAATACGAAGTTCTAAATATGTACAAAGTCATAGGAAACTCATTTGAAACTGATGTAAAAATTATTTGAAAACTTAAGTCCTAGAGACTGAAAAGCATTTCATGGGAAATCCATCTTCCTGCAAAGAAAACTTTGGGTCTCAATAAAACTTATCAGGAAGTCTTCCCAGACATTCTGGAACAAAAGTTATATGCGTCATCCTAGAGCCAGGAAAAAGTCAATCCTCCCCAGCCCAATTCATAAGGCTGACATAACTTGGGCCCTAAAACTTAACAAGACTTCAACAACAGGAAAATCACAGACACAATTACACACAGGATATCTTCGAGGAAAATATCTACCAGGATCCTAAGCAGTGCTGGGGGTTTAGCTCAGCGGCACAGCATCTGCCTGGTAAACTCAAGGTGGAGTTCAATTCTCAGTTTTTAAAAAAAAAAAAAAACCAAAACCAGAATAAAGGAGTCCTAAGCAACATGCTAAACCTAATCCAGCAATGTAAAAAGACTGAAATATCGTCACTCAGGGAGTTTATCTCAACAATGGTTTAACATTTAAAAATCAATCAACGCAAGTCTTCCCATTTACGAAGAAAAGAGCATATGATCATCTTAATAGATGCACAAAAAAACTTGATAAACTTCAACATTTACTCATACTAAAAATGAATACGGGTTTGGGGATGACACTGAGGACTGAACCTAGGGCCTCACAAATGCTAAGCCAGTCATCTGCCACTGAGGAAATCAGCCCAAAGGAAATTCTGGTATCTAAGTGAGATCAAAAAAAAAAAAAAAAAAAAAAAAATCTACAGCAAACTTAAAGATGAAATGTTGAAAGCAATCACTTTAAAATTGCAAATGACCAGTGCAATTCCAATCAAAATTCTAGGATTTTAAAAGATACAAGAAAGCACAAACCACAATGGAATATACTGGTAAAACTGACTTTTAAAATTAGGAAACTCTGTTCAACAAAAATACCAAAGAGGGGGAGGGAAGGTGGAAGGAATGGGGAGGCTATAAACTGACAGATGTGAAATACATACAGCTGCAAAATATTCATCTTCAGAATAAAGACTCCCACAGGATAGGAAAGACAACAGTAAGAGGAAAAAACGGAGAAAAGGAATATTAAAAAAAAGAGAGAACGCACAAGTGATTAATAAACACATTTAAGAAGATGCCCAACCTCAATGTTACCAGGCAAAAAGGAATATTTAAAAAGAGAGAGAACGCACAAGTGATTAATAAACACATTTAAGAAGATGCCCAACCTCAATGTTACCAGGCAAATAGGTGTTAAATCCAATGAAATAGTGTCTTACCCACCACCAGTCAAAACTTTTAAAGAATGGCTAAAACTTTCCTTCACTGCTGATAGAGTAGAATATTTTTTTTGCAGTACAGGGGCTTGAACCTAGGGCCTTATACATGTTAGACAAGGGCTCTACCACTAAGCTACATCTCCAGCTCAAACTCTTAAAACCACTTCAGACAAGAATCTGCTCTTACAAGCTAATTAGCATATCCTCAGAACTCCACTGTTAGGTAGATAGCTTACAGAACCGCCTACGCTGGCCCAGGAACACGTTGATATGTTTACAAAAGCCTGGCAAGAGTATGAAGGCCTATCAACTGACGAACGGCTGTATAAACTGATTATAATCATACCATGGAATTCAAAACAGTAATGAAGACAAAGGCGAGCTAGTCACAATAACACAAATACTTCTAAAAAAAAAGTTATATGCAAAAAGCAAGCCACACACATGTACTAGGTCCCCATTCAAATAAAATTCCAAACCCAGCAAAAACATTACTGTATTCATTAGAGAAACATATAGACGGTAAAAAGAAAAACAAAATACTAAATATTCATGATTATCTTTGGGAAGCGGAAGAAAAGCATTCAGTGGGGGCTTTTGGTGGTGTAATAATAGCCTTTTTTTGAGAGAGTCTCCCTGTGTAGTTCAGGCTGGCCTTGAACTCATTGCATAGCCCAGGCTGTCCTCAAACTCGCAGCGATCCTCCTGCCTCGGCCTCCCAAATGCTGGGATTACACGTATAGTATGCGCTACCATCCCGACCAGATAAATAGCCTTTGTTCAAGTTTATATTTCTACATGCTTTAGGCAGGGAGGGAAAGACTGGCAACTGAACCCAGGATGTCATACATGCTAAGCAAGCACTTTACAACTGAGCTATACGCCCAGCCCTTTTTATTTATTTACTTATATTTTGAGTTAGGGTCTCCCTAAATTATCCAGACTGGAATCAGACTTTCCACCCCGCTGCCTCAGTCTCCCTAGCTGAGATTACACCTCTGTGCCATTGTGCCAGCCTCACACATACAGGCATATTATATATCATAAACAAGAAAGAAAAAGATGTGAGCCTGTCACAAGTAACATCAGACACCAATGTTAATAAGGAGGAGGAGGTACAGAAGAGGTTCAAATACTATCATTTAGGACAAGGGTGGAGGGAATGGAACTGGAAGAGGTGCATAAATATAACTAGCTTATTAAGCATATCAGCTGTCTCTGTTGTAGAGGTGGATGACCCTTGGCATGTTCTACCCACCCAGATCATTGTGAAACAGAAATGTCTGTGCGGTAAACAAAGCTGTCTTATCATTTGATGATACGCTAGACAAAGTGCCACAGCTTCACGGGCGGCCTCATTTATCCAAGGGAACCTTACTTATTTCACAGAGGAGGAAACTAACGCTAAGGGGACAGAGGTGACCGTTAGTGACAGCGATAAGGTGGCAACTCCAAAGCACACTTCTGTTCTCAAGGCACTCCCAGCCCCAGGTAAGCAAGAAAAATGTGTGAACAATCAAACTACGCTGTGGGTGTCTTATCTCCAATGCTCAAATCGCACAAGTCCGGAAACAAAAACTTCCTTCTTAGATTTGAAAATTTCCTGTCACCTTGTCTGTACTTTAGTATCGCTTGTATCGTTGTTGTTGTTTTGGTTTTTTTTTTGGTACCAGGAATCGAACTCAGGACCTTGCGCCTACCAGGCAGGCACCTGTGCCACTGAGCTATATCCCTGGCCCACTTGTATTGCTCTTGTGCTCTTCTGTAAATGGATGTCTGTTTGTTCATACGCTTTCGTTCTTTTATTTTTAAAACAAAAAAGAGAATATTGTAAATATATACAAAGATTTATAAAAACGTATAAATGTGCACTTTTATAATCACAGAATTTAGAAATTATACAATGCTTAAAATGATAATCGTAAAGTCATGTTCATGGCAACCTATCTGCGACCCCCTCCTGTGTCTCAGGAGTTATTTCTATTCCCCATTCCTATCCCCAATACATTTTTCTACTCTTAATCTCCAAAAAAAAAAAAAAAAGAAAGAAAGAAAGAACATGTGCTCTGACCTAAAGAGGGGCTTATAGATGGTTCGTTCTCCCTCCGGGCAGTAAGCACGTGCTTGGCTGTGACTCTGTCAGAGGGGCCTGCTGAGGAGCAAGTCTGGACTGTGCACACATCGAGCCTCGGGGCTTTACAGGGAGGGGCGTGGACTTTACACAACAACGCCTGCGCGCGAAACGGGGGCGGGGGCGGGCCGAAGGCTGCGCTTCCCGCAAATCCAGCCAGGTGGTAGAGAAGCGTGTATCTGGCGGCTTTCACCCCGGATCAGCACGACCGGCGCATTTTCCCCGCCTAATATTACGGTCTGTGACCCTGTGCGCGTCCCGCGACGCAGTCCCGCTCCACCGGCGCCTGCGACCCCTCGCCGCGCCTCAGTTTCCCCATCTCGAGGAGGAGCTCGAGAGCCGCCGGCCCCTAGCTGCCCGGCCGTCAGAGCGCACGGGCCCGACCTGGGCTTCACTCCCCTCGCCCGTCCCGCCCAGCCCCACTCTTCGTCCGCCCCCTCATCTTTCCGGATGCCCCTCTTCCTTCCCTGCCGGCCTCCCGCTCCCGGCCCGGAGCTTTACCCGCCACAGCGCCCAACGCTGCCCAGACTGTGCAGCCGGTGACTGCCGGAAGGCGGACTCACGGTCTCCTTTGGGGCGGGGCGAACGCAAAGCCGACGCTCCTATTCGTGGTTGCCAGCAGACTCCCCGCCCATCGGATGACGCATTTCCGGTCCTCCCCGCCCCCCGCGCGTCTTAATAATGGCGCTTCGGGAATCTGTGGGTTGGGCCCCCAGCTAAGCGATCTCCTGATTTCCCGCACGGCTGGAAGTACTGACGCCAATAGGCCTCCGCTGATAACCCCGACCGAAAACAAGGAGGGGCGGGCGTACCGCCCGTGCCTGCCTCCTTGGCCCCGGTCCGCAGGCAGAAGGGAATGCTGAGACCTGGACCTCGGTTTGCTACTATGGGAACTGACAGTGCGACATCGTGGTCAAGAATTTTGAATTACCTGAGCGTGGGGAAGCCACTGAGCTACTCCGAGCCTCAGTGTCCCCTTCTGTTCCACGGCGATAACAGTCCCTGCTAGAGTGTAGGGGAGATTTAGAAGATGCAAATCACGTGGTTGGCACAGCCCTTGAAACCTGTGGCCTGGAAGTGTGGGTTAAGTGTTAGCCACAGTATTGTCTTACTTAGGGAGTGCTGTGAGAAGCCCTCATAAAGCTCCCAATGGAAGTGAGTGGGTTGCTTTGACTCTCCCAGGCGTTATGTTAGCCTGAGGGCTGGGAATGTAGCCTAGCTGGGTAATAATGGCTGACTATACAAGAATACAGTAAATGCCTCTCTCTCCTCTCCCCCTTCCCCTCCCCTTTCCTCTCTCTACTCTCCCTCTCCCAACTTGTTAAAATCCCTGCTTTGCCACTTGCCACCCCTGGGATCTTGGACAGCCTCGCAATCTCTCCGGACTATTTTCTCATCTGCCAGGAGAGGGAAGCCTACAGAGTAATGGTGAATAGCTTGAGCTCTGGAGCTGGGTGGTCAACATTGAGTCCTGGTCCTAGAACTCAAAATCTCTGAGCCCCGGAACAGAAGATTCAAGCTGTCCGTCAGTTTGTCCATCTGTAAAGCAGGGATGATAATGTCAGCTTGTTGCTGGGGTTGTTGTGCAAATTAGCCACGAAGCCCTGAGAGGGTGTCTGGTATATAGGAAGCCCTCTAAATGTCAGTTACCTTTACTAACTGTTATGGCTTGTATCCAGATGTTCCTCCAAAGCCTCATGCAGTTATAGGTGGGACGCTTCAGAGGTGGCTGGATCTAGAGTGTGTGATGCTGGGATTAAGGGTGTGTGATTTCTAAATTAGTCCACTGATTGGGTTTGGCATAGTATCGGGTTAATAATATCCCTTAGTTATTTCAGGCTGATCAGGTCTGCAATCTCCCAAACAAGTGTACTGTGAAGGCTAAATAAAAGAGGCAAATGGAATGATTTCAGTGCTCCAGGAGGATCAAAGCCCTCTCACAGAATTCAAGATTCTCTTAGGGCTAAGACCAAAACCTTTTCTGGGTGATCTGTAGTTATTTGGCTATCAGAAGAAGGGAGGGGAGTACTCAAGAAGAGCAGAATCACTCAAGGACTTCTCTAAGTAAAGTATTAAGTTAATCCACCGAGGAGTGAGATGCCTGAGGCAATAGTCTTTATCCAGTTGAGGTCTGATCCAGGTGTCCTTGGCTTCGATCTTGTCTTATCCGTTGAGGCTTTCAGGCTTCATCACCACTACAGGTTTTAGTAGAGATTAGTGACTCACAGAGGTTCAGTTACCATGAGTCCGCCATTTCCAGACAAGGAGCCTAGGCCTTGGACAGATTCACAAGTGAACATGAAAAGCCAGTTGATTAAGTCTTGCTCAGGTCTGCTTTGTAGTGCTCTCCATCAGCATAGTTCTGAGTGTGGATAATGAGAAGGCCTACCCTGGGTATGACTGCTACCTGATCTAAGGTGGATCGCATAGATAGGAGGTAAGGGACAGAAAGAGGGCCCCTTGGTCATTGCTTGCTGCTTTGCTTCCTCACTACTTTGCTGCTTGCTGCCTGCCATGAATTGTTTCTCCTCTGTGATGCCTCTCTGCCATGCCACCCTGCCTCAGAACCAGCAAACTATGAACTGAAACCTCTACTGTGAACTAAATAAACCTTTCCTCCTTTAACTTTAACGGGTATTTTGTCTCAGCAGTGAGAAAAGGAACTAAGACATTAAATAAGAACTTCATAAACCGCCTCAGAGACAGTCAAATCAGAGAAGAAAACAGACCAATGGAGGAACATGTATGTTTTGTTTGCCTTACACAGTTTTGTAAAAGTTCTCACTTTGTCACCACTGTTTATTTTTGTTGTTGTTGTTTTCTCTTCTCTTTTTGAGACAGGGTCTCACTATGCACTTCAGGCTGGCCTTGAGCTCACTTTGTAGCCCAGGCTGGCCTTGAACTCACAACAATCCTCCTGACTCAGCTTCCCGAGTGCTGGGATTACAGGCGTGCACCACCACGCCCAGCTCATCATCACTGTTTAAAGTGGAGGTGTTTTACGTTAAACCTTAGGGTACATGATTGCTCTTGAAAAATGGAGAAATCTGGTGACAGTGGGCCAGCAGTCACCCTTGGTGGCATTGTTCAGATCTTGGGAGAGCCTGTTCCCTTTTGTTGTGGAGCCAGTGCTCCCCTGGTGTGTGGAGAGATAAAAGCTGAAGACCAAGTATAGAAAGTGCTAGAGATAGATTTCTGGACCAAAGGGCCGGAAAGGAGATAGAAAATAAAGAAAGGGAATTCAAGCCTGAGTGGTGTGAGAGGCACATAGATGGGAGAGACGGGCATGTGGCGTACGGTGTGGTCAGGATTGTCGCTGCTCAGGAGAGGTCTGGAAAGATGTGTCACTGATTTCGAGTGTGAAGGCCAACAAGAACAGTCTCAATGAAAAGGAAGAGGAAGCCAGATAGAGAGGCGAGAGGAGGGAAGGACGGAAGCGGAGGGCGAGCTGACTACCCACCTAGGAAGAGGACTTGAAGACTCAGGAGCAGAGAGAGTAATCGAGAATAAAAATATGTGAGGGAGGATGAGGTCAAGGGCACATGGAGACAGGATTATCCCTGCCCTAGAGAAAGAGACGTCGCTGAAACAGGAGGAAAGGGGAGGGTGCTAAATAAAGGCTCACCGTGATGTTTCTGTTTTCTCCATAAAGGAGCAAAGCAGAATCACGCTGCTGAACATGGGCACGGCGGAGATGAGGAGAGGGCGAAGATTTGCAACAGATACCAAGGGGGGATGCAGAGGGAGGTGCCAGCTAAGCTCAAAGCCATACCTGTGCAGTGATCAAGGTCACTTACGGATGCCTTCCGGCCCCATCCCCGTCCCAGGGGCCTCAGCATAGAAGCTCAGTTCAGATTCACCCTAGAGTGGGCAGTGGGACTAACTAGAAGATGGAGCAATTGTCAGTTGTTGATTGGAAGCCATCCACCATGGTAGGGGCAGGCAGACGTGAGAAGGGACAGTGCTGACAAGTGAGGACAAAACAGTGGACAGATGAGCAGCCAGGGCCTCAGTGAGGGGCACCTGGTTCAGCAGGAGCAAGCAGTGAGAGGTTGGAGTTGACGGTGCACCGTGGTTCCCCGCAGGATGACTGTCCTACCTCCCTGTGACTCGACCCTCAGAAGATAGTGCCTTCGCTTGTGGGTTCATTATTAGTTGGGACCTTTGATGTGCCACACATGGGACAACCGTCTGCTCGAGAAGTCTACAGTTCAAATGTTCTCCTGAAAGTTGACCCTGAGATGCATGGGACAGGCACACAGATTTATTGTTCATAGGAGAAGCGGCCAAGGCCTTGGCGAGACAGGAAGCTTGGGATCAAACAATACACTAAGGGGACTGGTGTTTCCCCTGAAGACAATAGACGCTATCAGAGAAGTGATGAGATCAAGCTGATATTTTACAAAAAGAACTTTGGTAGATACTCTTTTCAAACATCCTTGGAACATATACAGTAACTATGCACAAAACCACAAAGGAAACTTCAATAAGTTCCAAAGAATCTGTAGATCACACTTACAAACCACAATGTAGTAAAATTAAAAATCAACAACACAGAGAGCCAAATAGAAACCCTTAGAACACATAGAATATACACATCTTAAATGAGTAAGTGAAGTCGCTTCTGAGGAAGGAGTCAGGAAGTCAGAATGAATATTTTGTCTTACTGTTTATATCTGTTATGAAAAATAAAATTATATGCACTGCATACATTTGAGTTTTATTTCTTAAGCTAGGTGAAGCATACAGGAGTGTGTATGCAGGTTTTCATTAACTTTTGTAACCTTTCTGAAAGCTGAAAGATTTTATCATTTTTAAAAGAAAAGAATATACATCTGAAAACTGGAAAATACAGTTATTAAAAGGAAAACCTACATGGAAATTACAAAATATTCAGAAAAGAGTAACATAACCTGACATAACCACAAACACATGGGAACCAACTAAAACAGTAAGTAGAAGGGGATTTATAATCTTAAGTACACTTACTATAAAGCAACACAAAGAAATGTAAAGTAGCTAATTGCTTGGTTTAAGAGGTAGAAAAATAACAAACTCAGAGAAAAGCAGAAAAAAGGAAATAATAAAAAAAGCAGAAATGAGTAAAACAAAATATGGCAGTAGATTATAGAAACCAAAAGTTAGTGTCTTGTTAAAGACCAGTAATGTAGACAAACTTCTTGTGAGATTTAACAAGAAATGGTACAAATAATACTATAAATGGCAAAGAAGACATACCACATAAAATAAAAGTTTTAGAAGACATGAGTATACTATGAACAACTTTATCCCAATACATTTGAAAAATTAGATTGAGAGGAACAGTCAATGCTTAAAATTTTCTTTTTTTCTTGACCAGTTTCACACGCTTGAATTTGGTAATTAGAATGACTGATCTGAAAACAATATGCAGTATAAGAACCATTGTTGAACTCCTGCCATTTTGTATGGTGACACTCTGCATCATTTCCAGTGTTTTTTAAAATTATTTTATTGTTTTTTACTTGTTACCGTCTTTAATTCTTTGATCAATTTTACATTTTTATGTCT